TGCAAACTACATCTGTAACGTAGTCCTCCACCATAGTGCGCTCTTTGTTGGCCAAAGTAGATGGTACCGGTCTACTAAGGCACTGCACCTGGTCCTTTAGGCGCAGTATCTCAACGCAGTCGCGACTTATGAAGTTTCACGTGGAGCCAATGTCTACGAAGGCGTCGCACTTGCAACCACGCACACCAACTTCGACAACAAAGTACTCCCCTCTAGGACCTCTACTTAGTGCCACCCAGGACTCACGAGGGTCCCTTGCCGACCACTCACCTTGAAGGTCCTCTAAGGCTTCAAACACATCCAACGTACAGAGTATAGTTGGGTCTGGATGCGTCTGCGGGGTGACTAAGGAGTCAATAGCTTCGGCCAACTGTTGAAACGGGGAGGGTACATCACCCGCTTCAACGAGAGTAGAAGCAACTACAACTTTTATCGGGCCCCAAACTGAGAAGAAGGAAACCCACCCTTAGGAGGGATCTTCTGCAAGACCTTCGGGTTCTTGCACTTAAACTGCGTATGGTCGTACTCGCCGCAGTTTATGCAAGCACCACGTAACCAACGGTCCCGCCACACTTCTTAATCCAAGCCTGCTCTAACCCAAGCAACTATTTTTGTTTGGGTTTGCCCCCGACTCCTTCGCTGACCGCCCTTGCCGCAGCCGGCTGCCTTAGTCTTAACTACGGCGGCGAGGCTGCTACCCTCAACACTCTCCTCGCCGTCCAACTCTGCACTCTCCACAAGTTCAGAAACATCATCGATTTCAGTTTGATTCCCATCGGAATCAACCATCATCAATCGACTACCCTTTTTCTTCCACTCTTGTGGAGCCTTCTTCTTTCTTCCATCCGTAGAAGGGGTCTGAGCACTACCCAACGTGGCCTCTAAATCTAGGGCCGCCTTGCTGAATGTCTCAAAGGTATGATACTCACGCCGAGCCTCGCTGGCTAGTAAGTTCTTGATGTTTGTGGGACGACATCTTAAGAACGTGGCCAATAAGACATGGGGATTGTACTCCACTCCTGGGACGACAATCAGGCGCTCTACAGTCGTGGTAAGCTCTCGCACTGACTTGTACTTTCTAGCATCAAGCTTTAGAAGCCCACCAGTGGCAATCTGTGCCTGCTGAGGGTTGTGCCATCGAGCCTCTACTAAGTCCATAAAGCTCTCTAGGGTGTGGGTTTGTGCCCAATCACCCATGTTCCTGCCGAACCCCTTTGAAGCTACCAATCCATTCAGCCAGCGAGCTGCCGAACCCTCTAAGTAGGATGCAGCAGTTATCACTTCCTCTTCTACCAACGTCCTCTTTGTCCTTACCCACTGGAACCGTTCTCAACCACGTGTCGAGAACCTCATCCTTCTTGTCTCCGGAGAAGGTTGGAGGTGGTTTCAGGGGGGTCTTGGGGTACCAAGGTAGTTGCTGTCCCACTGGCGGGACAGGTGGCGACTGTGGTGTAGCTCCAGTCGCTGGACCAGAAGATGAAGAAGCAACAGTCAGAGATAGAGCTGCTGCTGATATACCGCTTGGTTGCTGTCCAGACTGAGTGGCATGGGGGCCTGTCATCGCTGATAATGGAAGCGATGGCAAAGCTGCTGTCCGGATCCCCGGCCTTTGTAGGGCCTGCAGAATCTGGTCTAGGGTGTCCTGCATGGCGTCCATTTTGCTCTCCATGTACGCCTGCATGGACAGGACGCTTGCCTTAAGGATCTTTCCTGTAGAGTTAAGGGCTGGGTCATCTAAACCCTCTAGTGCAGCTAAGTCTGCCTCCCTACTCTCTAGTCTGGCTCTTCTCTCTCTAATTTCTTTTTCTCTCTTAGTAGTCTGCTTGAGTTCCTCTTCTAGCCTTAAGCGGATCCTCTCTACCTGCTGGAGCTCCATTTGACTAGCACCGGCACCTGACGTATTGGAGACTGACTGCGAGTTGGTCGAATTGGACGGCATGCCCTGACCAGAGGTTGCTGCAGACGTTGCTGAAGCGGTAGCCATTGCTACCCCGCTAGCTGCTGCTGCTTCCCTTGCAGCCTCAAGCCTGATGGCCCTAGCTTTGGCCCTTAGTCTTCTCTCTTCTCCCGGTTGTAGGGCCTGGAACACTCTAGGGATTCTAAGCGATGATAGCCTTGTTAACCTCCTAGCGTCAGCTGTACCTTCATCCCCGGCTGATCCACTCATCGGCTAGGCAGACACTGTCTGCACTAGAGTCCTCTCTTGGACCTACCGCAGCATACGTCTGACTGGTGCTAAATAAACAAATAAATGAATACCCAGCGAGTCACCTCCAGCTACTATTCAAGCGGTATCAACAACACCTATACAGACTATACACGTATTCTACCTCTATCCTGATTAGTTCTGTGCAGAAACTTTGAGAAGAACTGACTATGGTAGATTACAGTCCTACTCTAGGCTGTCTGTTAGGTGTCAGCAGTCTGTCAACCAACTGATCAAAATAAAAGTAGACTAGGTGAGCAGATGTAGGCACAATGGGTAAAATAGTGATGTTCAGTTGAGTTCTCAATTGGAATCCCCTTCCCATGTATCCAACGTACCTGTGAAGATCATCAAGCTGTGGTGTCTAAGGTGTGCAACCACGGCCCACCCCTGTGCCCAAGAAGTATGCTTATGACCAGCCTGCCCTTTGTTTACCCTCACGTGCAACGAGCCTTACATCTGACTGATCTGGCTGATCAGGAGGCAATTTAAGGACAGCCCCCGAGAGTCCTCAGGAATTCTTTAACGTCGCAATCAGGACGACGATCACAGCCAGTGGACAGTTCAGACCCCAACCAGAAATGTTTATAGAAGGTCTGGGAGGGTCTCCGTAGGACTGGTCAGTCCGCACACCCCTTCTATCAGCACAGCAAAGAGCCTCAATGGACAAAGCAGCATGGCCTGCGTGTACTACTACCCATGGGTTGGCATGGTCACCGTGACCTGTGCTTCGACCAGGGCCCTTCAGAGGCACCGCCCTCTCCTGCCAGATGCGCCACCGGGAAGAATGCCGTCTCTCAAGGTAGAGCGCACACGACTCCTCGCCAAAGAGAGGACACTCAACTTGGACTCACTTCCTCACGGTAAGAAGAGATTGAGAGGCTAGATAAGGAATGGGAACAACGTACCTGCAGATAGCTGCCCCCAACCACAGATTTCTCACCAATTGGGCCGACGTGCATTCCGATGACCGGTCAATAGCCTCGGTACCACCCACAACGCAATGCAGTGCCACCTCAGCCAAAATGCCACGTCAGCTTACTCTCATCATCATGCATACACCCGCTGTCGCCACAGCTCCCACGCTGTCGCCACAGCGTTCCAGCGGCCTGCCTCTCCACCTAGGCCCCGCTTAATCAAACCAGCGCCAAAGTATCCTTTCTGCACATGAAGCGTCGTCAGCGCACCAAGTAACAATGTTGCCGGTGCCAGGTAAGCGGCGATCACCAACCAGCTCTGATACCAAATTGCAAGGAAAATGAGTGCGAACGATATACAGAAAACCAAGCTGCGAAGTCACACAGATGTCCAGGTAGTCGTATCCAAGCAGAGAGTACGAAATGCACCGAGAAACCATCCATATAGAGCGATACAATGAAGTAATGAGCCAATGTTCAAGCCCGTAGGCCACATCAGCACAGTATCCAAGTCACTCCTCTCTGTCTGGTGCCCAGCGCCCCAACCTACTCTGCCCGACTATCCTACCTACAGCTGGTTCAGGCAACAGGCTCACTTCGAGTCTCGAAGACCAATGTACATGACTGTCAACTCCATAGCCGGCCTCTCTTCATGTACCAGGTACGTATCTCGTCACCCTCAATCAGACCTTGATTACCCCACACTGCGCCTCCTTCCCTGAAGACCACCAGATCAACCGTTGTACCCCCGGGCGCCCAGCAGCCCGGCTATGGCCGCCTGCGCCCCGCTGCCCTGCAGCGCCCCACTTCACCACTACGCGCCCCGTCAGCGCCCTTGGCAGCAGCACTTCCGCATTGCCTGCACTGGCCAGAATGCCTGGCCTGGGCTGCCTCACTTCTTTTATGGAAGTGGCAGCCTCCTGGATGCTGCGTGTGGCCTGGCTGGAAGCTTCCAGTAGCTTCTGGTTGGGCCTCAGACCCTGCGCCCAGGCCCGAGAATGCAGTTGAGGGCCTGGGCCCTTTGTAGTTAGGCACGGCCTGAGTCTCCGGACTTGGGCTGTTTGCCGCATCTGTGCAGGGCTCCCAGGCAGGTGCGTCGGCGGTCCTGCTTTTGCAAAGGCCGATGGCCTGCTTCCCAATGTATCGGCCCTGCTTTGTGTCTATGTCCCCAGGCGCAACTGTCAAGGCATGGGCCAACTGTATGACACAGCTTTGTGAGGCTCACGCGTCTACCCAACCAACTGGCGTGCTGCGAGAGCCTGAATACCCACATATGGAAATGTCGAATTTTGCCTCTGACGAATATTCAGGCCCGCCTTCACTTAGGGCGGGCACTTGGCTTGCTGGGGGCCTTAGCCCAGATCATGTGATGTCTGATAGGGCCCCTTGAGGGCTTGTTCCTCACAATCATCGATTTGTGACAATTTATGTACATTTACGAGTCAGTGGAACCCCGACGATACAGTCTGCCACAGCCCCTCACTTGTTAGTCAACTTAGTCCTCTTCTCCCTCTCTGCCTCTGGTTTACTGGGCAGTTCTTTTTGACGATATATAGTGTATACGTATGGTTGATGGATATTATATGCACCCACGTCCATGTCATGCGTAACTTCACTGCTATTTGTCATTTGGGAACATCACTGATAAAATATGAATGCATGGTGGTTTTGTGTTCAGGGCTGGTGGATAGAAGAGGAGTGGAGAGAGGGGTGTTTATGTTTTCAGAAAGCTTTGGGTTGTGATCGGGTGAGATGGTCGGCATTTATACTGTCGCTCTTCAAATTTTAGATGTCATTTGGCGTTTTCAAACTGATTAATCTTTGTTATTTTCGTGTGGATTTTTTTCTGGGTGGTGAAACATATCGGAATTACCCAGTGTTTCAAGCGGGCAGAGATTCCATGCTGGAGTTCAACCGATGGAGGGCTCGAACCCATGCCAAGTTGGAGATGGCTCCGATTCTTGGACGGAAGCGGAAGAGAACAGCCCTCAGCTCATTCTGAAAAGCAGGCGGCCACAGCTTGACCTGCCTTCGACTTACAGGAGTTTCCTTTTCAACCCTTTTGTTTTGTAGGAACGCAGTAGATCGAAATCGAATCCAGTTCCTCCGCTTTCCTTTGTTTGGCAAGAGGAGCGGCGAATGTTTGTATTTGTGCACGCACTCCCAAGCTTTCGTGACCTTTTTCATGCACACGCTGATTTGTCTGCAGGCATCAGGCAACTGTTTTTGGAACCGTGTTTGTTTGTATTCGAGCAGCGGACAGGATCATAACTTTGCGTCCAGGTGGTGCGTATCGATTCAGCTGTTTGCGTTAATTCGCTGATTTGTCTGCAAGCATTGGGCCGAGGACTTCAACACTTGTCTTTCGGAGTATAGCAATACGGGCAACACATCGGTGAGTACTTTTCAAGGACCCTGTTCATCTCACATTTGTACGTTTCGTTTTTTCTTTTTTTTTTCATGTTTGTATGCTATCGAGTCCTGTACTTGTTCTGTTGTTACACCGTTCCATCATTTTTACCTTGTTCATCGTATTCATCATTTTCACAGTTTTTCATCCATTTGAACTTGCTTTTCAACAATATTGTCATTTTCCATCTTTTCCCACTCATGGTGCGTGTGTTTCATCGTTAACAATCATTTCTATTGATTCATTAGCAAGTGCTTTCTTTTTGCTTCTTTTTCTAGGTTTAGGGTTTCCAGGAGCGACGTCGTAGGGGCTCGCACCACTACACAACACTCTATATGTATCCGGAGCTCATGATCATCCCGATACATTCGACATGTTGGTCTCGTCTGAATGCAGCTGGTCCAGAAAGCGTCCAAATGCATGTAGAATGCTGAGTAGTGGAGTGAGGTATCTGTGCAGAACAGCAAGGTGGAGTAGAGGTAAGTCGTGGCCGTAACTCCTGCTTGCCCCTCGGGTGTCATTTCCAGTTTCGTTCAGACATGGCCATTATGAGATGGATGCTTTCAGTGCTTCCTACAGCGTTTTCGAAAGCGGAGGAAGTTCTGAGGAACCTATAAAGGCTTTTTCAAGTTTTCTGAAGTTTTCCCGATACTCTCGAGTACTTGAGTGGTCAGTACTGTGTACCACTGAAGTCTATGAGTTCTCTGCCTGGAAATTTCTGGTGCGTGGCATTGTAATCTGTACACACGCACACATAGAGTCGAGTCACTCAACCACTTTTCTCAGGGGCATTGCTAACTCTGGGCGACGTGGTGAGTCCTCCAGCAGTCAAAAAAATTCTGGGCAGAGTGTCAGGGTGATGAGTCTGTGAAGGTCCTATGAAACAGTCTGGGACAGTCGTGCATTTTTCTTGTGGAGCGAACATGACAACACAGAGAGAGAGAGAGAGAGAGAGAGAGAGAGAGAGAGAGAGAGAGAGAGAGAGAGAGAGAGAGTTAATACAAATAAAGCAAATAATTTACCCATCATGTCATCTAGATAAACAGAAAAGACTAAAAAGGTAGAGAGAGAGAGAGAGAGAGGGTTTCAACCTCCTGATGAGTTTTTGAAAGTCCGATGAAACAGTCTGACACAATCATGCTTGTTTCCTGTGGAGCGAACGAGAGAGAGAGAGAGAGAGAGAGAGAGAGAGGGAGAGAGAGAGAGAGAGAGAGAGAGAGAGAGAGAGAGAGAGAGAGAGAGAGAGAGAGGTTCTGCTACAGGGAACAAAACTTACAAAAGGTGTGAGGTACTGTATTCTCAAATTTCTGAATGCAATCTCACTCACATCATGATAACTACAGGTCTCCCTCTCTTGGGGGGGCCAACGCGGGCTTAGAAAAGAAAATGAGAAGGAAGAAAGGAGGGAGAGGAATAGAGGAGGGAGAGGACAAACTCGGAGAGGGAGGGGAGTTTTCCCAAGGGCCATGGGGTCCATCACACCCCTCTCACAGCCCCTGATTGCCACTCCGAGTCTTGCACCTTTTTTATGCAAGGCCCGGATACTCTTTAGCCAGATCTAGCGGGCTGGATGGCCCCGATTGACATGGTCCAACAGCAAGAATGGGACTATAGGGACGAGCCACCACAGAGTAATGTTGCATACATGGTGCAACTGCAAGAAAGGAGTTATAGGGATGATCTGCCACAGGGAAATGTCATCAACATTGCGCCACATCAACCTTCAACATGGCGCCGCAGCAAGAGAGAAACTATCGGCATGAGCCACCACACGGGAATGCCGTGCCACAGTAACTGTCCGTGCTACGGCAAGAAAATAACTACCACGGCGGGTCGCTGCGGGGGAATGTGGTCAACGTGGCGCCGCAGCACGAAGTGAACTACTGCAATGAGCAACCACAGGGAATGTCGTCGGTATGGCACCGGGAGCATATCTCTGGAACAGTGGAAACTGATTTCACACAATGGTCCTATCAAATATACACTTGTAGTATTCATAGATTTGGAATCAGACATACAATGCGGACTAGATTCTGAACCTACCTGTAACAGTGAGAAAAACTAGAAGGGTGAGCTCTTTTAACTTGTGCGGGCAGGGGGGTGGCGCAGGGGTGAATAGAGCGCATGCTATTTGGTCAGTTTTATAGGGTTTGAAGTTTGAATGGGCAACGCCAAGAGCTGTGAAGTTTCAGTAGCTGGGGTAGGTAAGGTGCCAATGCGGAGTGCTAGTCTATAGGAGGTAGGCCCTGGTACTCTGCTGTGTTCATCCCAGGAAGGGAAGAGGCTTGAGACTATTACAGACAGTTTCATGCTTTGCAACATGAACACAGCATCAATGGGCTGGGGGGGGCTACACCTAATTAGGGACCTAAACGTAGGAGCAGATGAATGTGGTCAATTGGGAATCTCCCGTATGGAAGGCACGTCGGGCCTGTCGACATGGTGCTAGAAATTTGCCCGTGAAAAGGATTGGTGGTTTAAAGTTTAAACCCTTCTACTACAGTGAGGGTACCCGTGCTGCTAACGAATCTTCATAGCAGCAGACAAGTAGAAGTGGGTGGGTGGACTAAATCATTAAACAGACTCCCTGTCCACTAGCAAAAAGAAAAAGGAATGGTCTCATTCTCATGTTGCCACTGACTGATGTCATCCTGAAGACACACACGGTTGGAGAGGAGAGTGACTAGGGAAAGGGTCAACCAGGAAAATAAAAGGCCCTGATTCTGACATGTAAAGAAGCAGGTGACGTCAGGGCGGATGACCAACACAGCTTGGGTGGAGGTCAGAATAAAGGTGGCGTCTGGGGCTCGACAGGTTTTGTTGCGCATTGTGTAGAGTCCTCCAGGAGCTGAAAAAGTAGAGATAACGGCCTCTCTGTAGGAAATGGCTGCACAGGGAACTGCCTTGAGAAAAGTAAGGAAAAGAAAAAAGAACACACACCCACATACAAACAAAAAAAAAAAAAAAAAAAAAAAAAACAAAAAAAAAAAAAAAAAAAAAAAAAAAAAAAAAAAAAAAAAAGCGCACTTGCCTGGTCTTGTACTTCTGCGGCGGAAAAATGTTCGGGCCGATAACAATAATCTGCCCCTGAAGGATTTGAGACTGCCTCTGAATCCCTGGCAAAAATATACCCACTTGTCTGTGGTGCCCGTTTACATGTCATGATGCACTTGACGGTGCGCACCATCTAGATACATTCTGGCATTTGCTATTCTCGTGGGAAAGGTGCTTGTCTGTTGGAATCCAGCCCTGAGAAATGGCAATGCATGGTTGCCGAAGCGACACGGCAAAATATGGCCACCCGTGTCATTGGGGAGGCGCAGCTGGAGCGTTAGCAGCCATCACTGTGAAGTTAGGACAGAAGACCGGCAACACAAATAAAAAGGAGGAGGAAAAGAAAAGGAATAAAAGAGGAGGAGAGAAAACATGGGTTATTGTTTGGGGTCCATGGGCTGCAGTGCTGTGCTCATCTGGCTGCGGTTCCAATGCAGCCTCAGTGCCCCAAGTTCAATCGGGCATTTTCACACCCAGTAGGCAGCCTGTTGGTCCGGTGTGGCTCCAGGTGCCTTCAACAAAAAGGAAGATGATGATGACAATGACGGAACAACGAGGATGATGATGATGATGCATCATGATGATGATGATGATGATTCCTCCATCGCGAACCCCACCTCCCCAACCCCCTCCCACCTCGCCTCCCCCCAAGCAAAGTTTTCTAGCCAATAAGTCGTAAAAGAGTCCCGATTTCGGAGCAACCTTGTGGGTGCAGAGATGGCCCATAACCAAAAAGAAAAAGGGTGCAGAGATGCCCCTTTACCTTAAAAAAAAAAAAAAGGAGGGGTGGGATCTTTTGCACTGCTACCTGGCCAGCTGCTCAGGTAATGTAGCTTGAGCCTTGAAAGCCATTCAGTACATCCTCACAGTATGAGTTTGTGAACTGAATCTGGTGGCATATGCGTTCAGATGCATCGAGAAAAGTAGTCCTAGGATGGATATGCCCCGTAGTCACAGATCAAGATCTCATGTGAGAGCGTGATAATGTCTAGGTGAACAATTTTTTTCAGCAAACACTGAGTGTGCTTCTTGCACCTGTAGCCTGTAGGTACTGTTTGGCAGATTCCGAGTTATGCAGATTGACAGTCGGTCTTTCTTTTTTTTTTTTTTTTTTTTTTTTAAAGACAGTCAGTGTTTCCACCCAAAAGATCAATAATCAGTGCCTTAAAAAAAGGGTGAAAAGAAAAAGGAACTGCAGGGTGAACTATAGGCAGAGAGGGAGAAGAGGACGACAAACAAGGGGCGGCGACAGACTGTTTTGTCAGAGTTTCAATGACTCCCCCAGGAGGCTGAACCCTCTACAGTTTGCTGAGTCCTCTAAGCGATGATGGTGCTGTCAAGTGATAATTCACCTTAACCCCAGTTTCAGTTAAACCACCAGTACGTTTCCCTACTTGGAAAACAAATACGCGCCGGTTAACACGGGTGGTCGGTGCAGGGAATGACCGACCCCACCGTACGACTGACTGTGAAGAAGGTTAAAAAAACAACAGGAAAAAAAAAACAAAAAAAACAGACGGCGCGGGGGAACAGTGCGCAAGCAGAACAGGAACGGTGCGCGCGCACGAGAGAGAGAGAGAGAGAGAGAGAGAGAGAGAGAGATCTCTTTGTGTGTGTGTGTGTGTGTGTGTGTGTGTGTGTGTGTGTGTGTGTGTGTGTGTGTGTGTGTGTGGCGCGGCCGTTTCGAAATCGCAAAATGGGAATGAATCTTCCCATCGCGCACGTGAAGATTCATTCTCGTTTTGCACATTTGAGACGTGCGTCTCTCTCTCTCTCTCTCTCTCTCTCTCTCTCTCTCTCTCTCTCTCTCTCTCTCTCTCTCTCTCTCCCCCCTTTCTTTTTTTTGTTTTTTCAAATTTTTTATTTTTTTTTCCAAGCGGATAAATCTCTCTAGCGTTTCATTTCGTTGTTTTCCTTTTTTCTT